AGCAGCAGCAGCAACAAGATGCGTGCACCCTTCACCCCGCAAGATTGCTGCAGGGAATCCGCTTACTGCTGCAGACTGCTCGCCCGGCGGCAGCTCTCTCTGACAAGCAGCAGCAGCAACAGCAGCAGCAGCAGCAAAATGAGCAGCAGCCGCGAAAGGTCTACACTCTCGCGTCGCTACTGCGGCGCGTCAGTGCTGCTGTTGCTGCTGCAGCACCGCCATCGCTCCGGCTGTCTGCAGCAGAATGCCTCCTTCGTTTTATGAATGCAACGCCTACCCAAGCGGCCCTGCAGCGCATGCAGCAGGAGTACCAGCAGCAGCAGCAGCAACTGATGCTTCTGCATCAGCAGCAGGAGGGGCGACAGCTGCAGCAGCTGCAACTCCAGCAGCTGCAGCAAGCGACGCGGGTAGCCCCCTCTTCGGGTGTTTCCTGGCCAGCAAGTGGCCCAGGCCTGCTGCAGCAGCAGCAGCAGCAGCAGCAACAGAGCACCGCAACAGGCATAGCTGCGCTCTTATTGAGACACGCGCGCGCCGCTATAGAACGGTGTAGCAGCAGCAGCAGCCGCGCAGACAAAGCAGCAGCCCTGGAGGATAGGAACGCAGCAGAAGCTCCAGCAGCAGCAGCAGGAACAGCAGCAGCAACGGCTGCAGCAGCTGGTGTGGATTTCTTGTCAATGGCAGCCTACAGCGACGCGCCGATGCCTCCGTTTGTGATTTTCCAGGTGTATGTGCAGCTGCAGCAGCAGCGACAGCAGCAGCAGCTGCGCCGGGAATGGACTGCAGCAGAAGACCAGCTGCTGCTGGCAGCTGCTGCTGCAGTGCAGGGCACCCCCAGAGGCAGCAGCAGGTGGATGCGGGTTGCTGCAAAAGTTCCAGGGCGAACAAACAATCAGTGTAGGGCCCGCTACAACTACCTGCAAGTGGTAAGGCCGAACTGCAAGCCTCAGATTATAAACGCTGAGCCTCAGCAGCAGCAGCAGCAACAGCAGCAGCACCAGCAGCAGCAACAGCAGCAGCGGCAGCAGTAGCAGCAGCAACAGCAGCAGCACCAGCAGAGGTGAGCTTTGTGCGCGTGTGTTTGCCAGGAAACCAAAAGACACGGGATGTTCAGCCCTTTTGAAGACTTGCAGCTGCAGCTGCTGGTCTCTGGCTACGGCCGCGCCAGCTGGAATAGAGCAGCAACTCATTTGCGGGGCCGCACGGAGATGAAGTGCAGAGAGAGGTGTACATACACTCCAGCCTTGGCTCGAATCTAATCCACTGCAGCAGAAGAAGTGGCCGCAGCGCCGCAGCAGACCCTCTTCTGCTGCTGCTGCTGCTGCTGACAGTCTTTTGCTGCTTCGCCGCAGCCACTGTGGTGTCCCGTAGCAGCTGCTGCGTCTGCCTGCTGCATTTTAATGGCGCAGCAGCTACAAGTGGCTTTTGTGGGCCATTAAGCCGCTGCTTCTGTCCCTGCTGGCGTTGCTTCGGCTCCTGCTGCTGCTGCTGCAGGCGCTGCCTTTTCTGCATGCGGCGTTGCTGCAGCACCGATATAACTAGATTATTTCATTGAATTTCAAAGTTTGTAATTCTAAAAAGAAAATTAAAGCAAATTAAATGCTTGGAATGGTGCGCTTGCTTCTGTGCAGGTACCAGCACTGCTTAGCACCTTCCAAAAAGCCACTCCAATGGACTGCGGCAGAGGGCGCTTTGCTGCGAGCAGCAGCAGCTTGTTTTGGCCCGAACTGGAGCCGTGCTGCAGTGAGAATGGGCGCTCCCAGCCCCAAACCCTAAACCCTAAACCCTAGTTTGCGGGGGCCTGCACGCTGCACATTGTGGGTGTCGTGGTGTCTTTGCTGTTTTCTACTTCGCGAATTCCAGCTTGATCTTGTCCTGCTGCCACTGAGGTCTTGTGCTTTTCTTGTTTATTTCTTTTCCGATATTCTTTCTCATCTTGAACTTCTTTTTTTTCAACTTCCTTTTGGCTGTCTATTCTTTCCAGTCAGCGCAGCCATTTGACTGGCTGGCCCTTAGGGGCCCCCTTTTCTGTGGCTTTTATTTTGCTGCTCTTAAATCTTTTTCTGCCAATTAGCCCCCTCAGCTTTCTCTTTAGTGAATTCATATTCCCCTTTTTTTTGACGCTTTTGTCTGCTGTGCTTTTGCTTCCCAGTCTTCCCTCTTGCTGCCTCTTTGCGTGCACTCGATTCCTGTGCATGCATGCGTTTTTCTGTCTTCTCCCGTGCTGAAGACCTGCTTCTTTCTCCGTTGCTTCCGTATCTTTTCGTTTTCCATCTTTTGTTATTATTTCCCTTTTCTGCCTTTCCAATTCGGCAGGAGTTCTTTTCTGGCAGGACTCCTGCGGACTGCGCCGCCCAATTTCAGTCCATGGAAGCTGATGCAGCTGCGACGAGAAACGCGCTGCTGCTGTTTGCCTCCTGGAGCAGCAGCACCAACGGAAGCAGCAGCTGCATGAACAACGGCAGCAGCAGCAGCAGCGTGGAGGCCTGGCTGAAAGCGCACCTGCTGCAACTTTACGCAGCACTCCGTGCTGGCCTCTTCGCGCGATCCTGGCCTCCTGTGTCGCCGGAAGTACCTCTGCAGCAACGGCTGCAGCAGCTGCAGCAGCTGCAGCAGCAGCCGGCACTCCAGCTGCTCGATTTGGCCCCTATTCTGTCCCCTCTTTCGGGGCCCCGTAGAGCGGCTTGCACAGCAAACATGGCACTCTTCTCTCTGTACGTCTTGCGGCTTCCCCTGCAGCAGCGTGTGCTGCTGCAGCTACGATTGCCGTTCCTGCTCGCCCTGCGATTGGTCGACTTTTGCTGCTGTTCTTGCTGCTGTTCGATCTACTACATGCGCGACTTAAGAGCTGCTTCCAATGCAGCAGCTGCCCCCCTGCTGCTGTTATGCAGGCAGCTCGTGCCGTTGTTGCTGCTGCTGCTGTGTGCTGCAGTCATCTGGAAGAGCTGCAGCGAACAGCTGCTGGGGTCCGTGCCGCCACAAGTGGTGCTGCTGCTGGCAGTTTGCTGCATTCCAGTGACACTGAGACCGCATGCGTTTTTTTGCTGCAGCAGCTCCAGCGGGTCTTCTGCATATCTCGCCTAGATTACATCTCTTATGCGTCGCACATAAACGCCCTCAGAGAGCTGCAAGGCTCTCCCCACGGGAAAAAGGGTTCAGCCCAGGGGGGCCCCACTACTCAGGAGGGCCCCCCTCTCGAGGCCCTCCAGCCGGGTCCGCAGCCCTCCTGGGGAGAGCCCGGTGACCCTGTGCCTTCCCTTTCTCGTCTTTTGCTGCTGTACAGACACCCGGAAGCAGGGGGAGCCGCGCTGCAGCTTCCCTGGCTGCACACGGAAGCCCGGAAGGGGGGGCCCCTCTGCTTCCCTGACACTGACGGGGGGCCACGGGGCCCCACTAGGGGCCCTGTTGCTGCACCGCGGCTGCAGCTGCAGCACAGGGGCTCTCTGGGGCGGCAGCGAACTCAGCTGCCGGCCCCCTTTTTGAGTGCTGCATTCCGCAGCAGCGTTGCTGCTGCTGCACTTCTGCGGCAGGCCTCGACCACACAAACTCCGGAAGCTCCAGCGTATGCTGCAGCAGCAGTAGCAGCAGAGGAAGCAGCTGCGGCTCTTGCGCCAGTTCTTTGGGGGAAGGCAGCAAATGCCCTTCCGTCATCAGCAGCAGCAGCCGCTTCTGCCACTGCAGCAGCAGCTGCTGCTCCAGGAGGATGCACTGGAGAATCTCCCGAGGGGGTCCCTGGAAGCAATGCTGCTGCTGCAGTGTCTGCTGCAGCAGATGAGAGTCTGCAAGATGGCTTCGCTGAGCAGCCTGTGGAAGTTTCAAGTCGGGGCCGGCCCCGCCGGGGCCGCGGGAGGCCCCCCAGACGCAGGGGCCCCACAAGGGCTCTTAAGAACGGGGCGGCTCCTGCTGCAGCAGCTGCAGCAGCTGCAGCATCTGCAGCATCTGCAGAGGAGGAGGGGGCCCGCGAGAGCGACAGCAGCGAGGACTGGGTACTGCCCAAACGCCAGAAAAAGAAACGCAAGGCAGAGGCCCCCAGAAAAAGCCCCGGCCCTCAGGGGCCCCGAAGGGGCCCCGGAAGGCC